AGACCTGTCCTCCCTGGGATGCTTATCCAGGCCGGAACCTTCTTGCCCCAGTCGCTGGCATTGCCGTTGAAGGTCCCTGTATGGGCCTCAGGTTTGCAGTGCCTGGCCACTCCAGATGGGTGGCCTGGCCTGCAAGTGCCCCTCCGGGCGAGGCCAGCAGGCATTGTGGCTCCAGGCGGGGGCTGGCTCCCCTGGACAGATTGCTGGCCTGCCCCTTTTCTCCCTGCGCCGTCGGCTGCGGCACCTCCCTCCCTCCACAAGCTGTAGACCGACACCGAGCTCCATCTCACCACCTTCATGGCACTCGTCCAGTACAGCTGCTCCAGCCAGCTGCAGGTAGGCGCCCCTCGCCCCTGCCATCCCCTCTCTCGCCCTGTATTTCTTTCATGGAAGATTCCTTAAAACTCATGGCGACCCTATGACATTTCAAATCAGTTAAATTAATCAAATTAGCCAGTGTGCCCCCTCGTTGCCCCCCCTGCACAAAAAGTGTCTAGCTATTGGGTTGATAGACACGCACACACATGCACGCAAAAATCTCAATCCTAAATTCAGTCTCGGCTTTGCAGGAGGTCAGAGCTCTGGCCTTTGGCTCCCCGGGAGGGATCTGGCAGAGGAGGAAAGACCATCCAGTGGCGGAGGTGAAGGCTGCTTGAAGAGGAAGGGAGGATGAGGGGAGAGCCGGACTCAGCTGCACCTGAATCAGGAAAAGGCCTCGGTGCCGGTGAGCCTGGGAGCAGAAGGGAGCTGTGGGGCGAAACAGTGCAGAAGAGCCTGGGGGACAGCGGCTTCCCTCCAGATGTGCATCGCCAGCTGTTCAGGCAGTTCGGCTACCAGGAGGCAGAGGGGCCGCGGGAGGTCTGCAGCCGACTCCACCGTCTTTGCCGCCAGTGGCTGAAGCCGGAGAGGCGCAGCAAGAGGGAGATGCTGGACCTGGTGATCCTGGAGCAGTTCCTGGCCGTCCTGCCCCCGGAGATGGAGAGCTGGGTGAGGGAGTGCGGGCCGGAGACCAGTTCCCAGGCGGTGGCCCTGGCAGAAGGCTTCCTCCTCAGCCGGGCTGAGAGCAAAAATCAGAACCAGCAGGTGAGAAGTTTTCATCTTAGTAGGGTGGAGGGGGGGCACAGGATATGATCGAGGATACCATCGGAGTTGACATGGATTGCCCCAACTTTTTGAAACCCACCCTAGCCTGTTTCCTGTTCCTTTTCTCATTGGTCTTCCCTTTCTGGGATCCCCACCTCTGTTTCAGGTGCATGAGAAGATTGAACAGGAATGTTATCACCGACCCTCTCTTCCAGGTAAGACGTAGAGGGGTATTGTTCCTCCTGCTACTTGAATGTAAGGGGGGCCCCTGCTTTTATGGCCTTGTGGCTCTTTGTGGGGAAAACGCTCCACTTCTACTTCTCAGTTCAGAAATTCAACAGGGCAAGAAGTATCCGAAGTTGACAAACCTTGAAAGGATGCTGGTGGAAGGCAGCAGTTGGGTGCTTTCAAAAATGTGTTTTATCTGAATAGGTATTCAGTGCCAGATTAGGGAAAATTTTGTCAAAAATGGTCTTGGATTATCCCCTAAATATCAGTTTTTGGCAGTGTAACATCACTGGGATTGTCATTCTCTATGAATATGATATTCTGTTGTTATCATTACCAATAAAATCATTATATATTTATTATCAACAATACTAATAATATTTTCATTTATACTTGCCTTTCTAACTGGGACTCGAAGCAGAATATACAGATGACCTAAAGACGTTTCAGTCAATCAGTACACAAATTAGGAGATAAGATAACGTCAGGTAGTCAGCGCCTTTCAAGATAGGATATTTAAATTTAACAGCAAAGATGACCAGTAAGACAAAATCATGTGTTTGGGCTAGGACTGTAGACCAGGGGGAAAATCCAGTAGAAGGCATGCAGCTCTAATAAAGATGATGTGTCCGTGGTATTTCGCACTGTGTCACCTAGTTAGGGTGTCAAAAGGATAACTGCTGGGCCTTCACCTAGAGGAAGGCTGCATTTCCCCTCATATCCTGGTCTTCTTTGCTTGCTTGCTTGCAAAGAGATTCTAGGATTTGGTAGCTGCATTTCTGTCCTTCGTTTTCAGTTGCCTGTTCCTTGCATCACAGAGTTCTTCCTCCTTAGTTCTGTGAATTCTGGAGAAACAGACCACAGTTTTTGTGTATGATAACCATCTCAAGGCTGGATTTGTTAATGCTGTGGAAGCAAACAGTGATCCAAAATAAGGATGCAAGGATAGCTGGTACCATGAGCCAAGACAGGGAGAGTCATATTTTCCCCAGTGGAACTGAAAGGCAAAGTACATGGAAAGTAGTCAGAGTACAGAATGCCACACAGTTACCTTTTTATCCTTCCAGGTGGTGCTGTAAAACCAAGGACACATTCTTTGCCATCTCTTTCGGGGAAAGAGAAAGCCGCTTCTGTGCAGCCTGAGGGGGTAAGTGGGGAACTACGGATCACGCCCCTGGGTGCTTCCCCCACCCTCCCTAGGCCAAGGGAGACTCTCTCTCTGCCTCTTTCCCCTGGCTGCTATCTGTGCTGCTCACTGGGTAGAAAATCAAAGCATCTGACAGAGGGTTGAGTCCTGAACATCAATATTATAGTGTTTTTTTTAAGATTGCCCTGAGAGACGGAAGAATTCTTACATTCTCTGTGAAGACTATGTTCCCCCCCCCCTCTTTTCAGGGCCTGGTGACCTTGGAGGAGGTGTCTGTTCATTTCACTGCGGAGGAGTGGGCTCTGCTGGATCCGGACCAAAGGAGGCTTCACAAAGAAGTCATGGGGGAGAATTGTCGGAATGTCACCTCTCTGGGTATGGCTCTCCTTTCTCTTGATTCACGGATGCTGAAGCCAGAAATCATTCTAAGAAGGACCCCAGTCCTGACCTGAATGGCCCAAGCTAGCCCGATCTCATCGGAAGCTAAGCAGGGTGCGTCCTGCTTCGTATTTGGGTGGGAAACTGTCAGGCCTGTACCTGCCTTGGTGCAGTAACATCACCAAGCTTGACCTGGGTTTGGCCTCACTCACTCCCTGAGTAACACTCACCATAAAGCAAAGGAAGGCTTTATTGACGAATTTATTTTTAAAGTATAAAAAGAAAGAATATAGTTCAGTGAGAGTGAAATGCGCAAAATAACAAAACTGGAGTCCAAGCTCAGCGCAGTTGGTTCGTAAAACAAAGAGTTCCAGAACATTATACAAATATTTTCTTGGCTGCAAGGAGGAACAGGAAGGAAAGGGTAAAAAGGGAAGAATGGTTTTCTCTCTCTAACCACACTCATCGACACATGCCGACCATAACCTCCTGACTTCCTGACGTAATGATTGGGCAGTATTCATGGAACATTCCAGGCTGAGAGTGAGTTCTCCCTCCCATACCAGATTCATAGCTAAATGGTGTGAGGTAATTAACAGGCCTAAGTGGGTGGCCTTGATAACCTCTGGTGGGGGTGGGGGGCTGACCCCTGTAAAGAATCAGAGAGCAGGGGGAAGTAGCTGTGAAATACCTCCCAGATGACTTCTCTCTTGACAGAGACCACCAAGAAAATCCAGGGTCAGCACACAAAAGCAGGCAATGGCCGAGCATCTCGGAATGTCTCCTGTTTGGAAACCTGACACTGTTGCCCTAAGTGGGCTGCGACGTGACAACAGTCTCCACCGCCACCAATAAGGCCCCAGATAGGGGTCTTTCAATGGAGACTGTCAGCGGGAGAGTGAAGTGGATGCCCACGCAGGCAAGAGTGCTGTTAATACTTAGCGAATTCTGTTAGTATTAGTGTGTAACCCAGGGTCCGACTTACCTGAGGAACCGCCATTCCCCATATATACCCCCAAGAGCACTTCGGTCCGGGGCACAACATCGCCTGGTGGTTCCAGGCCCCCGGGAGGCAAGGCTCACCACGACTAGGACCAGATCCTTTTCAGTGGTGGCCCCTACCTGGTGGAATGAGCTTCCGGAGGAGATCAGGCTCGCCACGACTAGGACCAGATCCTTTTCAGTGGTGGCCCCTACCTGGTGGAACGAGCTCCCGGAGGAGATCAGGGCCCTGCGGGACCTTATGCAGTTCCATAGGGCCTGTAAGACGGAGCTCTTCCGCCAGGCTTTCACATAGGGGCCACCACTACCACCGCCACCAATGAGGTGGACAACATCGGGGCTAAGGATGGCCCGGGAAGATCTGCCACAACTTCTGCGTGACCGATACCACTGGATTTATCTGGTTGAGCTATAGGATAACATCATCCTTGGAGAACTTGTCTATTTACCATCTGGCATGTATCCGGAGACCATCTTGTTAAATGAGTACAATTGTTATTAGTTGTTATTAATGTTTTTATTGCTTTTATCTGTTTTATATGGGCTTTGCCCCTTGTAAGCTGACCTGAGCCCGCTCTGCGGGGAGGGCGGGGTATAAATCTTAATAAATAAATAAATAAAAATAAGCTAAAATATTGGTTTGTAAAAGTAAAGGAACACGGCAGAGGAGGAAGGCCCACCCCCGTGATTGCCTATTGAGGACTGAGTGGGCTCATTGGTTTTCAGGGGGAACAAAACCTTCAGTCCAGGTGGAAATCCAATGAAAGCAGGGCAGGAGGGGGACTGGCCTCCATAGCACTTTATGGGATGTCAATGGGGCCTCCTCTTGGGCCGTTCAGAAGAGCCGTGGAAATGAGCGTTTTAAGTAATAACAGTAATAATTTTTGCATTTATTGTAGAGCCTTCAATGTGCACTTTCAAAAGTTCAGAAAGACATTTCCTAGCCCTGAGGACATCAGAGCCTTCCATGGTACTTCAGGAGGGTAAGGGTGGGGCAGAGAGGGCAGAAGAGATGAATTGGGGCCTTCTGCGGTCTTCATTCTGCTTACACCAGTGTAAGTAGGTGTGGCTCAAAGATTCAGTAAAATGCAGGGCAGCCCTGTAGGACAAACCAGGAAAAAACAGGAGTTGAGTGGATGAAGTTTTGCTGTATGTCATGAAGAAGAGGAGGTTGGATTTATACCCCACCCTTCACTCCCCGAAGGAGTCTCAGAGCAGCTTACAATCTCCTTCCCCTCCCCACAATAGACACCCTGTGAGCAGTGTTCCCTCTAAGCTAAGTTAGTGTGAGCTAGCTCATAGTTTTTTAGTCTCCAGCTCACACATGTTTTGTCTCAGCTCAGGAAGGGATGGCTCCAGAGTAAACTGATTTATGCAGTAGCCAAATCTCTCGCTCACAACTTTAATGCCAGTAGCTCACAGAGTACAATTTTTGCTCACAAGACTCCACAGCTTAGAGGGAGCATTGCCTGTGAGGTAGGTGAGGCTGAGAGAGCTCTTTCGAGGACTGCTCATGAGAGAACAGCTCTGAGAGAACTTGTGACTGACCCACGGTCCCATCAGCAGCTGCATGTAGAGGAGTGCAGAATCAAATCCAGTTCTTCCAGACTAGAGTCTGTGCTCCTAACCACTACACAAAACTGGCTCTGAGGAGCTTTGCCTGTTGAGTTTCTGCCTGCCATGCGGCCCTTGGAATCAGAGGTGCAGGTACTGCCTTCCCATTCTGGGCTGGAGGGAAAGGGAAGAGAATGCATGCAGTTTTGAGGTCTTTACGGGTTGAGTAGTGTTAAAAAATGTTCTCAATTCAGAAAGCAGATTTGTACTTCTGCACACTGATTATGAGTTTTTGGGGATCCATCGCCACCCTTTTCCATCTGGGAAGGGTCTCTTCAAAGGGAAAGGAGCCCTCAGACAGTGGCCCTTTGTCACAGCCACCCTAGATGGTGTCATAGTGGGACGTCGGATCCTGCTCGGCTTGGGAGGGGGCGAAGATACCGCATTCCGGTTGCTCCATGTATGCTAGGGCTTCCCTTCCCTGTGCTGGACTTCCCTGTTCCCTTCTTCTCTTCTTTGGGCTACCAGCAGGATCAGCAGAGGGATCCTTTGGGATCTTTACAGTAGCCCCCTCCCCTCCCATTGGATGCATCTTTTAGGAGTTTAAAAACTCTGATTTCTCTTTTTCCATTATTGGTGGCTGGGTCTCGGCCTGTTTTTAAAATCTGAATATTTCTTAGAGAATTGGAACATCTTGAACTCACCAGTCTGCTTCTTTCCCCCAAAGGAGGACTTCTGGTTCCCAAACCTGAATCCATATCCACAGTGGAAGAAGCGGGAGATCCACTTCTCCAGGACCCAGAAGAAAGAAAGAGATCAGCAGGTTTCTGCTTCATTGTTTGGTGGGAAACTTTCTCTGGTGCATGTGGGTAGTCTTACAGGGCTCTTTTTGTAGCAGGAACTCCTTTGCATATTAGGCCACACACCCCTAATGTAGCCAATCCTCCAAGAGCTTACAGAGCTCTTCTTACAGGAGCTACTGTAAGCTCTTGGAGGATTGGCTACATTAGGGGTGTGTCGCTTAATATGCAAATGAGTTCCTGCTACAAAAAGAGCCCTGCGTAGGACTCCTCTTGGGCTAAATTTCCCCAGCTGGAGAATGGGGGGGGGGATTTCTCTAGAGGCAACAGCACAAGAATGGCCAGGAAATAGAATCATAGAATGTTAGAGTTGGAAGGGACTTTGGAGGTCATCTAGTCCAACCCCCTGCCCTCTGCAGGAGCATAGCCGAAAGACAGCCCTACATACCTACAACATACCCGAAAGATGGTCGTCCAGCCTCCGCTTGAAAACGTCCAGCGAAGGAGTATCCACCACCTCCCGAGGCAGACTGTTCCACTGCTCAACCACTCTTACAGTTAGGAAGTCTCTCCTGATATTTAGCCGGTAACGACTCCCTTGTAATCTTTCTTAAGTGTGAAAGAGAGGATTAAAAAAGGGAACAACGTGCTGGCTTGTTTTTACCTATGGTGGTGGAGCCGGGGATGTTTCTACAATACTCGACTTTAATAAATTTTGATTGATACGCAGCCTCTCCACAGACCTGCTGAAGTTGGCTCAAAAATAAAAATACCAGCAAATCCTAAATACTGCCTAAATGTTCAATTTTAAAAGCCAGGGGCACAAGAAGAAAATAAAACATCCACTGAGTTGCTTGAGAGATCTCCCAAAACAGTCCTCAAGTTAGAAAACGATAAAACGCCTAAAACGATAAAGTTCTGACAAAGCCCACTTGGAAATAAATGTTTTGGCCTGGCTCTAGAAAGATAGGCAGGTGAACTCCAGGTGAGCTTCAAATGGGGGGACATTCCCTAGTTGAGGGGCCACCACAGAAATCGCACAGTCTCTAGTCGCCACCTGCCTCAGCTCTGCGGTCAGGGCCATAGGACCCAGGGCTTGGAGGCCAAATATACCTGTGGGTGGAAAGTACAATGAGCTTTACAAGTTTGTTGCTCAGATTGGGTCTCAGTGGATAGGGTGTAAAGCTCTGCTCCTAACTCACTGTCCAGTGAATGCAGTTCAGTTTTGTCCTTGAATACAGGAAGCCATTTGGGAGGCGCCATCTAGTCCAGCTTCCTGTTTCCCACAGTGGCCCCCTAGAGTCCCTGAAAGGTTCACGGGAAGAGGAGCAGATCAAAGCATCACTCCTCAGAGAGGTACTGCCTCTAAACAAGGAAGTTTCTCTGGTCTCCCTTGTCTCTAATGGAACTACCCTCCAAGGAAGAATCTGCAGCTGATTGATACAGGGCAGGATTTTCCCCTGTTAAGTGTCATTGTCAAGAGGTGTTAATGGCCTTCTTTACTTGACTCTGTTTTTGCCTGAAGGACTTACCATTCTTTTATCTTTGTTCTAGAGGCTGATGGTCCCCAGAATAAGTCCAATGGAGACCTGCAACACCTTGTACTTGAGAAAAACCAGCAGAAAAGCATCAGTGGAACAAAATGGAAGACAGAGAATGAATCCTCTCCTCAGAGTGCTGAATCCTGGGTGTTCGATAGACAACAAAGAATGAACACTGGAGGGAAACTTCATAAATGGTTGGAGCGTGGAAGGAGCTCTGCTCAGAACTGCATCCTTGCAGCTCATCAACAAGTCCACACTGGGGAGAAACCATATAAATCCTTGAGTTCACAGCTTACTAACCATCAACATATCCACATTGGGAAGAAACCATATAAGTGCTTGGAGTGTGGAAAGAACTTTGCTTGGAATTCATACCTTACTATACATCAACGAATCCACACAGGGGAGAAACCATATAAATGCTTGGAGTGTGGAAAGAGCTTTGTTCAGTGTTCACAGCTTACTAATCATCGACGAATTCACACAGGAGAGAAACCATATAAATGCTTGGAGTGTGGAAAGAGCTTTGTTCAGTGTTCACAGCTTACTAATCATCGACGAATTCACACAGGAGAGAAACCATATAAATGCTTGGTGTGTGGAAAGAGCTTTGCTCAGACTGCAAAGCTTACTAACCATCAACGAATCCACACAGGGGAGAAACGACATAAATGCTTGGAGTGTGGAAAGAGCTTCGCTCAGAGTTCACAACTTACTCACCATCGACGAATCCACACAGGAGAGAAACCATATAAATGCTTTGAGTGTGGAAAGAGCTTTGCTCGAAGTTCACAACTTACTCACCATCGACGAATCCACACAGGAGAGAAACCATATAAATGCTTGGAGTGTGGAAAGAGCTTTGCTCAGAATTCACACATTATTCTACATCGACGAATCCACACAGGGGAGAAACCATATAAATGCTTGGAGTGTGGAAAGAGCTTTACTCGGGGTTCACATCTTACTCTACATCGACGAATCCACACCGGGGAGAAACCATATAAATGCTTGGACTGTGGAAAGTGCTTTGTTCAGAGTTCGCAGCTTATTAACCATCGAAGAATCCACACAGGGGAGAAACCATATAAATGCTTAGACTGTGGAAAGAGCTTTCCTCAGAGTGGCAGCCTAACTGCTCATCAACGAATCCACACAGGGGAGAAACCATATAAATGCTTGGAGTGTGGAAAGAGCTTTGCTCGGAGTCATAGCCTAACTGCTCATCAGGGAATCCACGGGGAGGAGGGGAGCTACATCAAAACTTGGAATGTTGAAAGAGCTTCTCTCAAAAGGCATATCTTAAGGTATCCTCAGAATTGACCCAGGTGAGAAATCATATAAATGTTAAGCCCTGTTTTGCATTAAAGAATTCACGCAGAAGAGAAACCATAGCAGTAGAAAAGAGCAAGAATCTAGTAGCACCTTAAAGATTATGAAAATTTGTGACAAGGTATGAACTTTCTTCAGTTACATTTCACTTCCTCAGATATGACGAATCCATACAGGAGAATCCATATCTGAAAAAGGGAGCAGTGACTCACGAAAGCTCATATCCTGACACAAATTTTGTCAGTCTCTGAGGTGCTACTGGACTCTTGCTCTTTTCTACTGCTACAGACAGACTAACACAGCTACCCATTTGTTTGAGTATTGGTAGATCTTTAGCCTCAAGCTAGCCTCAAGCTGATTACCAGGCATCATCAGCTGTAGTTTTTGTGCTACTTCTGGCTGGTATTATACAGTTGTTGAATTGGTATTGGTTGGACTAAATTCTCTGCCCCTCTTGCTCTGCTCACCATATTTAATGATAGTTGATGACAGCATGAGTAGTTCTGCCTCCTGCCAAAACAGTGGCAGTTACACTGGATGAAGTAATGGCAAGAGTAATAATCCTTTATGCTAAACTGCATCTAAAATTTTATTCATAACAAACGCCGTACCCTGCCTTTTTCCTGGTGGGGACCCAAAGCACCTAACGTTGTGCTCCTCACCTCCATTTTATCCAAAGTGCAGCTGTCATGACCCCAGGGGGGCGCCACCTTCAGCTGCCACCACTCTGGACTTCGGGTCCCTTGAGAAGGCCCGGAGTACCCTCCCAAGCCCATCCAAAATGCCCCTTTTTAAGAACATAGGCATGATGACCAGGCAGAGAACACTTAAACAAATGGTTTATTAACACTGTACTGGGGCAAGGAAAACCAGACAAAAAAGGCAAAATAAACTAATCTAACGTGACTACCTATTTCACTTCACAGCCCTCTTATACCAGGCATCCTGCCTGTACTCACTCTGTCCCAAGTGAGGGATCTTTTCCTCAGACCAGACTGTCCCCTCAGTTTAGCTCTGTGAGAGACAAGACCGCAGAAGAGAAAGAACAGAGTTTCACAGTTCAGAAAGCTTAAGTTCCATTCCCTCACACAATCTCTGTACACTGATTGGCTACAACCATTGCTAAGCATTGTGGGGGTTGTAGGCTGTCTGCTCTCCACTCCCACACAGGCCTCTAGGCCTTTCTCCCAGGCCTACACAGGTCATGACAGCAGCCATGCTGAGAAGTAGGTTAGGCTGAGAATGGGTGACTAGCCCAGGGTCAGCCTGCAGATTTCATTGGCAGAGATGAGATTTGAAGGGTTAAGCTGACCGTGTATATTATAAAAGTACAAAAGTTATTAGGGTGTACACATATTAAAATATATTCGGGTTAATTTTTTTTCAAGTATCAGACTAATAAAAGCATATCAAATATTAATACACATGATGGGTCAACACTTTCCAACTGAAGACCAAACGTGTTTTGGCCTCACAGGGCCTTCCTCAGTGATCACTATTACAACATAGTATAGACACACATTCAAACATATGTATACAAGATCTTTAGTACACTTATATAAAGACCAGATGTTGTATCCTGAAATTATAAAAATAGAGGGGGGGAAGGAAAAAGAAACTCAAATTATTATTTCAAATGTATACCAAATCCTTATTAATTTCAACAAATGATTTTTTCAAACTAGAATTACCTTGTATGTTTGTAATTGTGTTACTGGTATTAATGATGGGCCATAGGTATAGCCATATCCATTCCAATTATTCTAAATAAAAACCATGAAATGAAATAGTGAAATTATTATATTAATAGTTCCAATTGTATATTAAAAGTAGCCTAATAGCTATGAAAAATTAAATTGGCCAACAAACCTGGTAATTGAGATTTCATAAGTCTGAATGTGTGTCACTCCATCAAGGTAAGATTCTGTCATAGGCTGCTGAATTGGCTACCATATATAGTTATTCTGAGGTGATGCAATCACCAGTTAACCTTGCACCATGCCAGTCAGGTGAGATACAAGATGGGAGGGGGTGCAGAGGAGAGAAAGACCAGGAACATCTGGGGGGGGGAACAGGTCAGTAAAAAAAAATTTTTTTACAGAAAGCCAGATACAGATGTTCATAAGCAGCAAGTCCAGTCCACATCTTCATTCAATCCAAAAGGAGCCCACGTCTGCAATTGATGAATCCAAAACAACTCTCTTCTCAGGAGCACTCTGCACATGTTCGGGTTGGTAGTCTGTACAGTCTCAGCAATCCAAAATTTTAGCTGTTTGTCCGTGTGACCCTTCTCCAGATAATGGCTCACTAATGGTGCAGAGCGCTTCTGCAATCTAACGCAACTGCGATGTTCACCTATTCTGACCTTTACGGGTCTTGATGTTTGACCTAAGTACAATTTGGCACATGGACATTGAATACAGTAAATCACTCCTTTCCTTTGACAGTTACAAAACGTATTGATCATAAAAGTTTTTGTTTTAGCAGTATTTTGAAATGACTTTTTAGACTCAGCACAGTAAGACATTGAACAGTTCCCACAAGAAGAAAAAAAACCTTTAGGAATCTCACTCCCACTCATCCTGCAGCTGTTGTCCTTCGCTCCCGGGAGCCTGCTTCTAACAAGTGAATCTCTGAGGTTTCTTGCTCTCTTTGCTCTGTATTCTTGGTGCTTGGGGGGGGGGGCAAACAGTGTCCTGGCCCCACTGGTGGACCTCTTGATGGCACCTGGTATTCGGCCTGATTCAACATTGGCTTCTCTTATGTTCTTACGTTCTCCTAGAGCCTAGTCAGGCATTCTGACTACTGTGCCACACTGGCTCAGCGACCTCAGTGTAAAGTGCCCGCCTAGATCTGAATTGTGCTTGATGAGACTCATCCAGAACACTAGACAGCCCTTCTGTTTCCACAGACTCCTTTCTCCCCCACCTGCTCCTAATCACCCCAGAGAAGTCAAGGTCCTCTTCGGCTGCCAGAGCTCTGGTCTAGGGGGTTCGAATTCTCCCTTTCCATCCACAGGCCCTGTATTGCTGAGCACTGCCAGGCTTACAAGTGAGTTTGAGGCATGAAGACCCAGTCAAGACAGAGTGTGTTATTGTGACAGAAATCCTAAAACTTGGCTAAGGCTCAAGAGTGCCTGAGATCTTGGACCCCTAAGAGATTCCACTAGAATGAGTTATTCATTTTCATTCTTCATTGGACCATCCTGGCAGACTTAATCGCTTTTGGAGAAAGGACAGTCCATTTTGGACCAGACCATCTGTTTGTCTTGGAAGCTCAGAGCCTTGACCAACTGCTTGATCAAAGTGGGACTCTGCCGTATGTGGCTACGATTACTGAAGTAGCTTCTGACATCAGAGATGGGGATTTGCGTGCAATTTGAGAAATCCGCTTGTCATTCTTAGAAAAGAGGCTGGCTTATGTCCAACTCCAGTTAGCCTAAATACTTGGGATTTTCAGTCTTCAGTGGGAACTGTGTCCACAGGAGTTGGCTAGGTGTTAAGAACTCTTTCGACCTCTTGTTAACACAAGGAACTGCACAAACTCAAGGAACTGGCTACAGCATAGGTAACAGGTTTAGCTGAGTCAATTCTACTGTTGTTTTTCATTTGAATATCTCCGTGTTGTTGTTGCTGGGTGCTTTCTCCTATATTTTGTTTTTCCTTTTTTCTCCACTTTTTGAATCCAACCACCCTTCCCCCTCTCTTTCACAACAAACATTTTTATAAAGGAATTTTTATGGCTTCGCTTAGTTTAATCCGGGGTGGCCAAACTGTGGCTCGGGAGCTGCATGCAAACAGAGCCAGTTTGGTGTAGCAGTTAAGTGCACGGACTCTAATCTGGGAGAACCGGGTTTGATTCCCCACTCCTCCACTTGCAGCTGCTGGATGACCTTGGGCAAGCCATAGTTCTGACAAGAGCTGTCCTTGAAAGAGCAGTTCTTTAAAGAGCTCTCTCAGCCCCACCTACCTCACAGGGTATCTGTTGTGGGAAGGGAAAGGAGTTTGTAAGCCGCTCTGAGACTCTGAGTGAAGGGCGAGGTATAAATCTCATCTTCTTCCACACATATTGTGCGGCTCCCGGCGGGGCGGCTGGGGAAGCTAAATATTATTAGCAAACAAATATTATTGGACAAATAAATATCATTATCAATATCTGCTTTTACCACTTTTGTTATTATTTTTGGTAGTCTCATTTAATGTTAACAAAAAGCAAATGTGCATATTTCTCAGTAAAAACATGTAAAATTTGGTCATGTCTTCTATGTGGCTCTTACGTTAAGCAAGTTTGGCCATCCCTGGTTTAATCTGGTTCTCTGGGATATTTCTCTGAATCTCTTCCCCATGTGCTGGACTGCAGGGGTGCTCCCAGGTTGGCTATAAGTTACTGCTTTAGTACTGTGCCGGAAGACTGCCTTCTCAGCAGGTCAGTCTAGATGCTCTCAGGAGATCCTGAGCGGTGGCAACTGGGTACCAGGGTACTTCCCAGGGAACTGTTGGTCTAAGGGAGTTTCCAAGCAAGGAAAGGCACCATTTCCATCTTCATATCATTACAGTAATAACCAAACTCGTATCTTTTAAGCCCCACTTGTAAAGAGGGAAAACGTTTTAACAGAGGATACGTTCCCAACAGCAGGGCTACATGAACGTCAGCTGCTTCACTGGTCTCTACAGGAGTATTTGGTCTTAGAATCATAGAATCACAGAGTTGGAAGGGGCCATACAGGCCATCTAGTCCAACCCCCTGCCCAATGCAGGATCACCCTAGGGCAGTGGTGGCGAACCTTTGAGAGACCGAGTGCCCAAACTGCGACCCAAAACCCACTTATTTATTGCAAAGTGCCAACACGGCAATTTAACCTGAATACTGAGGTTT